TCACATTCATTCATTCATTCATTCAAATAATAATAATAATAATATTTTGAAAAGGGAAATTCGAAAGACGACGTTTAAGATGAATTATTATTTTTTACAACAAAAAAGTTCAGAAGTGCGCGGGGCGGTACGGAGGTGGATATAAATTGTTTTAAGAAAATTGTTTTTTTTTTTAAACATTAAAAAAACATTTAAAAAAACGTTTTTTTTTTGTTTTTTTAATTACAATCAATTACCTAACAAACAAACAAACAAACGAATTTGTTTTATTAAATATAATAATAATAATAACGATGATGATGATGATGATAAAACGAAAGAAGAAATTTTTTTTTTGTTAAGACCGAACAAAATGTTTGTTTGTTTTTTATATAAATAATAAAATTAATACAACAAAACAATTTATGATAAAATAATGATAATAATTAAAACAAACGAACAAACAAACGAAAAATGCAAAAATTTGAAAATAATAATAATAATAATAAAAAATGTTTGATGGGAACAAAAGATTTAATTATTTACCCTGAGTTTTTAAAAAAAAATTATTATTATTATTATTATTTAGTGAATTTTGATTGGCTAAAAGCCACGAAAGAGACTCGTTATTTACACAAATATATATATATATATAAGAACACGCACACGCACTCACACACATTAAGAGAGAAAGAAATGCGAGGCCAATCAAGTATATAAAAAAATGTTTTAGCGCCTCAATTTTAAAAAAAGGAATTTAAATTTAAATTGGCGCCAAAAAATTATTTTTATTAATATTTTTTATAACAAGCAGAAAAAAGGGAATAAAATGTCGTTGACGCAATAATAATAATATTTATGATTCTTTCGTATATGCTCGAAATAATAAAAATAATAAAATTATTAACTTGAATATGCGTATCATGCGTAGAATGCGTTTCATGTTAACAATACTCGTTAATAATAATTAAATATATATTATTATAATGTTTTTACTTTTTTTTTTTATTATTCGTCATTATTATTATCAAGACAAAAATTCAACAAATTGTACATATATGTATATATGGGCAAACATAAAAGTAAATCCGGAACAAGAAGAAAACCTGTGGCATTAAAAACAAAAGCAAGATAAAAAAGGTACATATATAGTCAAATAAAAGTGCAGAAAAATATTACGTAGCGATTAAAAAATAACAAAAAAAAAAAACAAAAACAACAACAACGGAAAAACTTGATCAACCTACCTACCTAGGGGCAAGAATCGCAGGGAAAATATTGAGCCTACGCACCCTCGTGGGCAGATGCTGGCAAAGAGCCGACGATGACGACGCTATGACGTCACGCACACATGATCGGCGCGTTGGCGTCTTCAGTAGGCTAACGGTAGGTAGAAGAGCTTTGACATCGATTGACCGCATTTAAACATTGTTAGACAATATAAAAAACTGTTATCTTACGTTTATTTGCAAAATCGCTTTCGACCATTTTGTTTTACTATAGAGGGGAGATGTCATTTTTCTTTTTCTAGTTTCATTCATGATTTTTCGAATCAGTCGATAAAAAATCGCGCACTCGAAATGTGTTGTTGGGGTGTTTTGTGTTTTTATATTAAAAACAAATAATGTTCGATTCGTCGCGACAAATGAAAATATAGTTTTTCATCATCATTATTTTTTTTTTTTTTTTTTACTACTGACACGATCCGTTTCGCGAAAGGATACGTTATATCAATTAATTAGAGTGAACATGTGGTGGAGTGATAATGATGTGCATACGAGTAAAAACGGAAAAATTATTCTATAAATAATGATATGATTGTGCGTGTGCGTGCGTGCGTGCGTGCGTGTTTATAAATGAATAATACTGAATATAAGTAAAATAAAAAAAATTTGTTTAAGTGATGGCAGTTAGCAATCACCGATTCATTCCCTTACGAAACCGACAATCGAAAAGAAAAACAACGCAATATGCTTTTAACTATGAGAAGGACAGAAGAACCTGACAAAAGAGGAGTTAGAATAAAAGAAGAAGAAGAAGAAGTAGAACAAGAAGAACAAGTAGAAGTTGAAACGAAAGAATATTATAAATTAGATAAACCGGAAGGAAGTGTTTTGTGGAAAGAAGAAATTGACGAAACGATTTTTACATGCGAACCGAGTGATAACGAAACAGAATTCGAAAAAAGAAAATTATTCGGTAAAAAAATTTACGTGAGGCAATTCGGAATCGACGAGGAACGACAGGAAAATGAATACGTTGATATAACTCAAGTTCAGCAGCTGCTCTTAGATTCAGCGACCTCATCGGGGAAAGTTGCCAGCATCAAAAATAGAACCGGCGAAAGACAGGATTGCCAACAACAACAACAACAACAATTTGATACGGCAAATCGGTTTTTAACATCGACCGAAGAAAGCAAAATTCTTACTAATAAAATAATACACAGACCTCATTCTCAACCGTCTTGTTCGAGTTTTCCAAATTCTCAACAACCCTATTATAGACCCCCACAAGATCGGTACTACCCTCATCCCCTCAAACAACCGGATTATTACGTTGGAAAATTTCAAAATTATCAAGACCAAAGTTTAAAACCACGAATGTTGGCTGAAAGCATACCGAGTAATCCGCACTTGCAGCCACCAGCTCCGCAAACTGGAGGCCATTCGCCAAATGTGGAAGAACTCTTTGCTCTATGGTTTGGAAGTGCACCGGGAAATACAGGTTGGTTGACAAATTACACTCAAAATAATACCTTATTCGTTTTGATCATGATTAATTATCATTATTATTATTATATAAAGAAAGAAAAAAAGTTATCCGATAATTATAAAAATGATAAATTTCTATAATAATTTTTTTTTTTTTTGTCACGTTGGTCAAACTTTTTTGTTTACGTAATCAACTTCCGGAACGAGAGTTATCTCATTATTATTATTAATATAACGACAAAAAATTGTTGGGTTAAATAGAAAAAAAAATCCTTTGCGATTCCTCTCGAAAGCCTAAAAAAAAAAAAACATTTGAGAGCATGTCCGGTCAGAATGGAAAATGTTGGGTTGTTATCAAAAATGATAAGAAACTATGAAAAATAATTATGTGACAACAAACATGTGAAGGTTCAACTTGTCATTACAATTTACAACATCGTAAAATATCGTCGAATTATTATTATTATTATTATTATTATTATTATCATTATTTATTTATTTTTTTAACGTTCGCTATTTCGAAAAAAAATCGAGCGGCCATTTTGAAATTTTTTTTTTTAAATTAACCGATAATGTTTGTACCTCAATGAAAATTTTTGACTTGACGTTCGATGAAAGGTACTTGCTTGATAAAAATCGAAAAAATTGAGTTGGAGGGAAACAAAAAAAGGCGCGAAAAATTCAAATTTGAAATTTAAAAAAAAAGATTTTTTCCGATTCGTTTATTTTTCTATATTATTATTATAATTGTATATAAAAATGAAAAAAAAAAACAAAAAAATCAACTTTTTTTTTTTTAACGAACACGGTTTACTACTTTCTCATTCATTCATTCATTCATTCATTCTAAAAAAAAAAAAAAAAAAAAGTTTGAAACATTATTTCAATCAGTTAACGAATCATTCCAGACACAAATCCGACACGCCATTAATTAAATCCGAATTATTAATTCGATTATTGGATAAGATTTCTTATAAATAATAATAATAATAATAATGATGATGATGATGATGGTGATGATGATGATAATGATGATAATTCTTAAATAAATAAAAAAAAAAAAAAACTTGTCGACCGAATTAAGTTAAGGATTGGATTATTATTATTATTACTGTCCCATCTTTCATTATTATTATTATTAATATTTTTTTTTTCTTTCGTGAAATAATAATAATGATGATGATGATGATGATGATGATGATGATGATGATAATTCGTAGAACTTTTCATTTCCAAGGAAAACGAGAAATTTTTTCGTTTTTTTCGTTTTTCATTCATTTTTGCGTTCTGTGGTGGTTTATTATTATTATTTCGTACAGGTTTGATTCGTCCATCAATTTCCTCGTTCGATTGTGCTTTATTATTATTATTATTATTATTATCATTCGTTCAAAGATCGTTAAATAATAATAATAATAATTATTATTATTTTAACGCCGGTCGTAAGTTTTTTTTTTCCCATCGTCTGAATATTGAATTTTCTTTCCTTTTTCCCGACGTCATCGATCATAATAATTAATAATAGTATTATTATTATAATTATTATTATTATCATTACTAAAAATAAATAATAATAATAATGTGAACGTAATGTTAAAAACAAAGGAGTGGCAGAAATTTTTTTTTTTTTGTTAAAATTTTATAACAAATGCTACACGCTAATTAATTTTTATGAAAATTTTTAATTAAACGTTGTTTTTTTTTTTTTTAAAAGTGCCTGGAGTTAAAAAAGCCCCTCACTCCCACTCCCACTCCCCTCACCTCCCCCTTTAAATCCTTTTTTTTCACGTTTTACGATTTTAAGAAAAAATTTAAGCCGCGTTTAATCCACGTTAATCCTTTTTCATTTTATCAACGCCGAAAATTATTTTCTTATAAGAAAGAAAAAAACAAAAACAAAAACATAGAGAAAAAAAAGTCTAGTTCCACGTATTGTTTTTTTTTCTCTCTCTCTCTCTCTCTCTCTAAGATATTATGTCGTGGAATCAATCAACTTTTTCGATTACAAAATTTTAATTTAATTTTTTTTAATTAATAAAAAAAAAAAAAAGTTTGTGTCAATAATAAAATTATTTACACACGTTTACGTGATTATAATTATGTCGCATAAATTGTCGATGTGATATTAATAATAATAATAATAATAATAAACGATTTTTTTTACATATATATTTATTTATTTGCTGAGTAATGGTTATCAGGTCGTGAAATGTTTCAAAATTTTTTTACATACATTCGGTAGTTGAAATCCCTTTCTTCGGTCGGCATCATTCTTTCTTTATTATTATTATTATTATAAATTTCTTTTATACGATTTTTATTATTATTATTCGAACATTACCCTTCCCTCCTCCTTCCCCTTATTTTATTATTATTATTATTTTTGACAGATGAAAATTTAAATAAAACATTTAACCTGAAATGTCTGTTAGTTGTTGTTTTTTTCGACGTGGCACAAACGTAATTTTTTTTTTCTTTTTTCACAACGAGGAGAATAAACGGTTTTTTTTTCTACCACACAAATACGACAAGTCATATATGATAATAATGATTATGATAATAATAATAATAATAATGTGCGAGAACGTTCCCGTAAATCAATTTTCCCGCGTATGTAAAACTAATAACAATTATTTTACCCCCGATATTAATTATTATTATTATTATTACATGAATCAATGTGATTGTGAATGATGATAATGATAATAGGTAAAGTTGTGTGTAACGGACAAACGATTGATTATGCTTTCTCGAATGAATTTTTCTTTTATTTCCGGTTGAATATTTCAAGAAAAAAAAAACGTCAAAAAGAAGATGTTTATTTATTATTAACATCGTAACACGTTGAATGTGACGTTTGCACTTTCTTAATATTTAAATTAATTATTTGTTTGTTCGTTTGTTCCTTCGTTTGTTTGTTTGTTGTTAAAAAAAAAAATAAATTGCGGTATTTGCGGTATCGGAGAGAAAGAAAGAAAAAAAAAAGTGTTGAAAATAAATAATTTTTCGTTTTGTTTTGTTCGCGAGGATTTCAAGTGTTAAATGACGAATTTATCATTATTATCATCATTATTATTATTGTTTAATTAATTAAAATTTTAATTAATAAATTTATTTATATAATATATTCGTACAATCCGTTCCTGATTTGATACTTCACGTGATTTAAAAAAAAAAAAAAAAAGGTATAACGCTTTTAAAAACCAACGCATTTAATGACGTCACTTTATAGTTACACCCAACGACCGGTTGTTTCATTCATTTATATATATATGTACATAAATATTATTATTATTATTATTATTATCATTATTATTATTTCATTGAGAAACAACACATTTGTAGTAGACTAAAGTTTTTAAAAAAATATCCAACCTGGTTTTTTATTTTTTTATTTTTTATTTTTCGGTCCCCATCACCGAGGTATCTCTCTCTCTCTCTCTTTCTCTCTTTCTCTCTCTCTCTCTCATAACTATGGTCACTTATTTTTTTTGCCTTATAAGTTTTTGTGGGAGTGGTCATTTAATTTTTTTTATAAATGATTTCGTAATATTTTAATTCTCAATAATTTAAAAAAAAAAAAAAAAAATTTTCGCCATAAAAAGATGTCGGACGAGATGTTGTTGTCGGATTCTAATGAGTATAACCTCTTGTTTTCTATCTTTTTTCATTCCTCTTTTATCCTTTTCTACCTGATATTAAATATTATATTACTCGTACCATCGTCGTCGTATAAAAAAAAAAAAAAAAAAACATTTATGCCAATTCTTAATAAAATTTACGGCGTTATAAATTGAAAAATTTTCCTTTTTAATTTTTTTTTTTTAAATTTTAAATTCACGAATTTTTTTTTTTTAATTTTAATTTTCGGTAATTTTTTTTTTCTATTTGTTTACAAATAAATTATTATTATTATTATTTAAAAAAATTTTTTTTGATTTATTTATTAATAATTTTCAACCTGTTCGCACAAGCTTGGAAATTTTTTTTTTTTACGATCTTTTAATAAATAAAAAAAAAATTAAAGAAAATATTAAATATTATTATTATTATTATTATTATTATTATTATTGAAAATGTAAAAAAATACGTAATAAAATTTTAAAAAAGCAATAATAATAATAATAATAATAATATATAAAATTCGAGAAAAAAAATAATAAAAATAAAAATAAATGTTGTTGAATTTGTGGGTGGTTCGTTTTTTTTTTATATATTCAAACTGGTTACGTTTCTGATTTAAATAAAAATCAACGTGATGAAGATGAGAAGTTGAAAAAAATTTATGTCAAGATTATATTTTCAACTTTTAACTTTCATTTTTTCTTATTTAGATTAATAAAAAATAAAGAAAAAAGAAAGAAAATCATGTTATTATGAAAGTTTTAAACGTAAATAAACAATCGAACGTTTTTTTTTCTATTTCCACGTCGTTTTTAAAATCACCTGGCGGATTTTTCCCGAACTAAAGGAAACCTTTTTTATATATCCTATGATGGCGTTCGATTCAACGTTTTTTTGTCGTCATCGGTCGGTCAAACACTTTTTTAAATTCCGATAATTTAAAGAATGAAATTTAATTTATTTATACTCAATTAATAATTGTAATTAAATACCTTTTAAATAATCATTTCCTTTTATAGTTCTAAGAAGGCACTTTTTGTTTTTTTTTTTTTTTATAATTAATTTCCGGTGCGACATTTGTATTTAATCGTATTTTTTGGAACTGGATAAAAAATTCTTTGGAAAACGATTTGAAATTGTTTTGTTTTGTTTTTGTTTAAACGTAAATAAATTATTATAAATTATTAATTATTATTTTCCGTTCGTTAAAAACAAAAAAAAAGTTTATTTATTACGTTTATCGGACACGAAAAATTAAATTTTTATTTTGACTAACCGAGTCATTAAATTTAAAAAAAAAAAATTTTTTTCATTAAAGAACGAACCCCCCCCCCCTTAACGAATTCTCTGAAAATTTTTTTTTTTTAAAATAATTATTATTATTATTACGCTTTAGTAAATGAAATAAAAATTCATTCAGTGAATGATTTCATTCATTTTACATCATTAAAAAAAATAAAAATAAATAGAAAGGTTTGCCTTAAGTTAAAATTGGAAAATATTTTTCCTTTTTTTTCCTTTTTTTTTATAATAATAATAATAATAATTTTATAAACAATATAAACAAAAGATTTTTCTTATGAATTCATAAACTTTACCAAAAAAGGGTAAAAAAAAAAATTTGGCTCGTCGAGAATAAAAGAAAAGTTTTTTTTTTTTTTTTTTTTCTACCCAAAATTAAATAAAATGAATAAAATTTAAATTTATTTATTTAAAAAAAAAAGTAATTCGGAAAATTTTAAATGAAATAATTCCAAGAAATATTAATAATAATAATAAAAGAAAAAAGGAATTAAAGTGAAAAAAAAAACCGGGTTCCCATATAAATAAATTGTTGGGAAAGGGAAAGTCGAAAAACAAAAATCGATACATCGACTTTTCTCCCTCCATCCCCCTCTTGAGACTTTTCTTCTGCGCTCATCTTTTTTGCAATTTCCCTCTGACGTCACATTTTCATTCACGATTCCCGTTCCGTGTTTTTCAATTGATAATGGATAACTTTTTTTTTTTTTTGTTTCATTCACGTTTAAAATATATATAATAAGAGGAGGAAAATTTTTTATGCTTGAAACGAGAGAGAGAGAGAGAGAGAGAGAGAGAAAATACACGAGGGAATTTTTTGTCGCATGCGTTCGTTATTTTATTTTTTTTAAATTTTTCCTTTTTTTACTTTTTCTCAAGGGTACCCATCATTAATTTAATTTAATTACGGTTTACACATTTTTAATTAATTTATTTAAATATATATATATATATATATATATATATATATATATATATTGTACGGTAACGGATTTTCATTGATTACGTCATCAATTTTTTAAATGAAAAATATAAATGAATTATTTTATAATAATTTTTTTTCGGTTGAAAAATTTTAAATAAAAGTGGTAGCAGTGGTAGTAGCAGTAGTGGTAGTGGTAGTAGTAGTAGTAGTAGTAGTAGTGGCAGGAGAACCGTATAAAAAATTTATTTATACTATCGGTAGCGGATTTTTTTACCTTATCAAAGATTAAAACGAATTTTTTTTTATTTAAAAATTTTGTTTTAAAGCTAAAACTAACATGATCAATATAATTGATAATAAAATGCGGGGAATGTTTAATAATAATAATAATTTGTTTAAACGTGAAAAAAAAAGTAGAAAAAGATTTTCATGTACTGATAATACTAAAAATTACAGGTATTGAAAAGTTTCGTCGAGAAAGAGAGAGAGAGAACATTAAAATGGGTGATAACGAAATATGATGATACCTAATGATGAAATTTTTTTTTTTTTTCTCCAGCGTGCCGAACTGGAGGCGGTTTAAACGATAATTGGTTTATTTTTCTACCGATTTTTCATTTATTTATTTATTTAATTTTTTAATCATTTAAATTTTCTTAAATAAATAAAAAAATAAAAATTTTTTTTTTATTAATTAATCACTTGACGCGTTAGGAGAGAGAAAGAGAGAGAAACGATTATTAATTATTTTAAATTTTTATTTTAACGCCCTCGTTTATTATTATTATTATTCGTTTGTTTTTTTTTTTAAATGATAATGATAATTAAAAGAATGAAAAACAATAGTCGAAAGTATTTTTCTTTAATGATTGATAAAGACCGATGATTTTTTTTTTTGTTTTAAACGCATCCACGTTTTTATTATTATTATTATTATTATTTTTACTCATTGCCTACCCACAAGCCTCCATTTTGCCTCTCTTTTTTTTTTTTTTTTTTTTTATGATTTATTACGAAAAAAAAAACGTCAAGTCGAAAAATATGTTTAATAAATCACGTGAAGGAACACAGAACTTGGAAAATGTAAGAGAGAGAGAGAGAGAGAGAGAGTGAGTGAGAGAAAGGGAGAGAATTCAGTTACCCCCCTAAAATCACCCAAAGGAGTAATTGTAAGAACATTGAACCAAAAAAAAAACCGGATTTGTACCTGAACCTGAAGAAATGTTAACGCAGATCCAAAGCCAGAATAAAATATTATTCTCAATTTGTAATTGAAAGATGTCAATCAATTAGGCCGACACTCGAAACGATCATCAATCTTTTTAAATAATTGCTATTCATGGGTACAACCTATTAGGTACCAGTAACAGTTATAATGAAGGTTCAAACGAGTATTATTAACACAAAAAAAAAACCTTTCATTTATTTATTTATTTTAAATAAAAATAAATCTGTAGGTACGCAACAACAAACAAACAATTTGTTTAAATATATAAAACGCGAGGATTAGCACAAAAAAAAAAAAATTTCCTTTGGAATGAGGGGGGAGGGGGGAAAAGTACACCCATTTATCCTCTCTCTCTCTCTCTCTCTTTCTCTCTCTCACCGTATGGAAATTTACGTAATGTCGAACATGAAAATTTTTTTTTTTTTTATTAGAATTTAATGAAATTTTTACCCTCCGGTTAATTAATTTTAATTAATTTAAAGATGATGATGATGATGATGAGTATGAGATTAAGGGGAAAATATAATTTTTTTTTTTTTTTTTTACGGTTTTGAATACACATAAAATTATTTCTACGGGTACCTATCTATCTACCTACCACTCCCAATCGCATACCATCAGTTATATGGTTGAATTTTGTTTATATACGAGTACCTGCCTTTAGGGGTAATTATTTTATATAAGTTTGGGTTATTATTATTTCAAAAAGATATCAGGTTGTCAATCATCCCAAAAAAAATTTAAATTTTTTTTTCCGTCGTTAACAATTCCTCATATTTACAATTAATTATATATAAATAATAATAATAATAATAATAATAATAATAATAAATAAATTTTAAATATAAAATCTAAAAATAAAAAAAATCACACTACATTGTTTTCATTCCAGGCGTTCACAAAAAAAAAGGCGTTCGTTTGTGACGTACAATATTTTCCTATAGTTTTTCTAGTCCCACGTAAAAAAACAAAAAAAAAAAAATTTTTTCAAAAATAGCAACACGAGAGAGTTATTCTAAGATCAGAATGGATCTAATGCCACGTGGTCTGCGTATATATATTTTTGCTATAAACGAACGGGGGGGGGCGGGGAAATACGTTTACGATTTATTATTATTATTATAAAAACGCGTGTATATATACATATTATTAGTTGTGTGATATTTAAATCCGAACGGGCCGTTCGTCTTATTCGTGTCTGTTTGTGTGAAAATAAAATTTTGTTTTTCTTTTAACGGAAATTTGACGTTGTTCGTTTCCTATTCGGTATTCTTTTTTTTTTTTAATTACATCATCATCATCATTTACATCGTAACCGTGTTAAAATTATTATTATTATTATTATTATTATTATTTTATTAAAATGGCTTTTTAAAAAATTACGTTAAATCGATATTATTTATAGATTTATTGATTTTTTTGTTTTGTTTTCATTGGCGTCATTTTTAAATTTCACGTAATTTTTGTTTTTTTTTTTTTTTTTTTTAAAAAAAATGACGTTCCGGATGACAACATTGCTCAAATATTTTTAGAAAAACTAATAATAATAATAATAATAATATTATGAGTAAAAAAAAAAAAAATAGTTTTAAAAACAAATTTTCTAGCCAATATTTATAAAAAAAAAAAAAAAATTTTTTTTTTATGATCAAAATCTAAAAAAATTTAAATCTTTGGATTCGTTTCAAATTGACAAAAAACTAAAAAAAAAAGTTTCGAAAGTTTTAAATAATATTTTCTTTTTAAAAATTTTATCGATCCATCGATATATCGATATATCGAATTGAAAATATATGTTCGTTAATAAAAATGTAAATAAATAAAAAAAAAATTTTTTTTTTCTCAACAAAATGATATTTTCTAGCAGATTATCTAATATAAAAATGAAAAAACAATTGAAAGGTTTGTCTTTATTAATTTGCAGGTTGTCATTGTTGTTGTTGTTTGTTGTGTGCATGAGTTTGTAGTTTATGTGTTGTTTGTTTGTTTGTTCGATTGTCGTAGTCGATCGGTTATAATTTGGTTATTAAAATTACGTCAGATTTTCGATCAGATAAATAATAAGATTTTTTTATTTTACGTTTGTGTTTGTCGGTCGGTTGTTTGTTTGTTCTATTTTTTGTTAAAAAATTAAACGTTTGTTAAAAAAAACTTTTATTCGTCATTATTTCGCGGATTATTTCATTTTAAACAAACAAACAAACGAAAAAGAAAAAAAAAATTTTTTTTTATTTATAAATTTTATTCAAAACATAATTAATGATAATAATAATTTTTTTTTATTAAACGCGACGCAAATTATTATTATTATTATTATTATAGTTTGGTTTGTAATTCAAATAATTTTCATGGTGGAAAAAGAAATAGAAAAAAATTTAAATATAACAAAACGTTAGTTTTTGTTAAATATGCGATCAAAGATTAGATGTATCTTTAAAATGGTGCGCGTGTGCGCGCCGCGGAAGGGGGGGAAGGAGGGTCGGTCCCCCTTCTCGAACATCATTCATGATTGCAAAAATCTATAATTTAAGTGTGGGAGATTTAATAGCTTAATGTTGCTTCCATTGCTCAAACTTTGTGTCATTTATTTAAACGAATAATAAAAATAAAAAATAAAAAAACTTATTAATTCTAATTCAAACCAAAAGATATATATATATTCTCGTTTTCATGTTGTAAATAAATAATAATAATAATAATAATCGTTTCCTTTTTTCTATTCTTTGTTAATAATTTGTACCCGTTTCGATTAAAAACAAAAAAAAAATGGCTTACTATATATATATATATTTATTTTATTCGGATTTCGAACGTTAAGGAAAAAAAAGAAAAAATGGTCGTATACCGTAATGATAATAATGAAAATAATATTTGCCGTTATATATGAATGAAAGAAAGTTTTGTTGGTAAAGTGAGAGAGAGAGAGAGAGAGAGAGAGAGAGAGAGAAAGAGATAAGAGGGGGGAGGGAAAACGAGTAACAAGCGTTCGCGAACGGAGCTTTACGTTCCGCTCGCGTGCGTTCGTATGAAAGCATTTTGTTCGGGGGAAAAAGAAAAAAGAAAAAAAAAAAAAAGCACGAAATATATGGAGTCGTTACGTCATTTGACGTCACAGAGCGAGGTTCGGGGGGACGAGAGCGCTATGCGCGCGCTCATTGGCTGACAAGCTTCATTGCGACTTCCAAATATGGGACAGACACTTCATTCATAAAAGTGTTGTGGTGAGCGCTGGGGAGCAGTTGTCGAGCAGACGCGAGCCGTAATACAAGTTCACGCGAAAGAGTGTGCGTGCGTGTGTGCGTGTCGGTGAGAATAGATTTAATATATATATATATAACGTGTTTTGTGACAGTGTGACTCTGCCACCCTGACGGCGACCGGGTGCGTATTTTGGTTCCCCCTTCTCCCTTCCCCTACCACTTGGACCTGTCACATCATCACCGCCGCCGATCCTTCGCTGAAGGAAATCGCGTGTCAAACATCGGCGGCGTACTCCTCAACGAGCCCTCGATCGGAGGCCGAATCGCCTTCCGCCGGGGCCCCTAGCCCCTTCGTACCCCACGATATCAATTCTTGTGGTTGTGTTGAAGGCGTGCCTGCAGCCAATTCGCCGCCGACCATGACCATGGACGGTTTGGAAACATTGCCGCCGCACCGACCGCAATCAGCCCTTTTGCTCTCAGAATCAGCCGCCTTCAACGTTTTAAGCTTCGACACGTGTCTGTACAAGGGTACGTCGAGCGGTCCACCAGGCGGTAGTCCCGTGCCGGCGGCATCCGGAGAGTCAACCAACTCCGAACCGGCAGCACCGGAACCTCAGCACGGTGATCTCAACACGCCCGTCACCACCTCGGGAGACATTCCAACGTTTTTTGGGCCTTCAACCGTCGTCGAGCCACCCCCCATAACAGGTGAGACATTCCAAACGCAAGCAATCATTTGGAAAGAGAGCATCTGAGTTCGAGACGCCCTCGCTTTAACAAACACACACACCCACCCCCTCACCCCCATAATCATGAGCACCACATCGTCTTGAGTCAAAACAAAAAAAAAAAAATCAAAAAATTTTAACAAAACATTTAATAATAATAATAATAATAATATCATTTTAAAAAAATAAGCGATGGCGATCTTGAACACAATTTGCTTTCTTTTTTTTTTTATTATTATTACGGGTGGTGGAAATTTTTTTAATATTATTATTATTATTAATGATAAGGGTGGTTGTAATGTTAGCCATTTTTTTTTTTTCACAATTAAAACCAACCGAAAAAAAATGTTTTTTTTTGCTTTTGATCTAAAAATTATTATTATTATTATTATTATTAATAAACTAAAAATTAAAAAAAAAAAAAATTGTTTCTCTCTCTCGGGAGAAGAAAGGATGTAAAAGGTTAAAAAAAAAAAAAATTAAAAGAAGAAGAAGCAGAAGAAAAAAAAAGAGGAGAAGGAAGAAGGAAAGAAGAAAATTAAAAGAAAAACCAAAAATAAAATTAAAATTCCGTCGGTTATTGAAATTCATTTTTTTTTTTGTTTAAACAAAAACAAAAAACGATGATGATGATGATGATGATGTGTGAGTGCGCGACGTCCATCGAATAAAATTTATTTATTAAAAAAAAAAAACAAATTGATTGACGAAAAAAACCGTTTTTTTTGAAATTTCATAGAGTAATAATAATCGATACGATGATACCTCTATGAAAATGAAAAAATTTAAATTTTCCAGTAATTATTAATTAATAATTTTAGTAATTTATGTGTAATGTGATTATTAAACGTAAGATTTTAAAAATAATAATGATAATAATAATAATAATAATAATAGTGTGTAAAAAGAGTATTCGGTTATTCGTCGGTAAAATTTTGCCACCATTTTATTTTTTTTTTTCAAATTCAAAAATTTATTTTCGCGGGCTCTTGTGGGGGGAAAAAAGAAATTTGAAAATTTTTTGTTTTATTAATTCAATCAATCAATCAATCAGTCAGTCAGTCATTCGGGGAATCTTTTGTTACTTATTGAAAGAATTTTTTTTATTTTATCCGTCGTCGTTTTTTTATTTTACGCGAAAGAAAAAAAAATAAGTTTTAAAAAATGGCGCGAATGAATTTTGAAAATTCAAAAAAAAAAATAACGGACAATCACAATCGATTTTTTTTTTTGAATTGTTTTCCTCTTTCTTTCTCACGTGTACGAATACCGCTTTTGTGGTTGTTTTTATTTAACTAACAAACGAACAAACAAACAAACAAACAAACGAAAAAAAAAATTAAAAAAGAAAAACGTTCCATTAAAAAAATAAATGAAATCGAATCGAAAAGTAAAAAAAAAAAAAAAATTTTTTTTTTCCGCCATTTTTAAATTATTATTCGACGTTGAATAATGAATGGTGGTGGTGGTAGGAGTAGGAGTGGGGATAATATCGATGATGATGATAATGATAATGATGATTTTAATATCGTACCTTTAGAATTTTAGGTTGGGTTTTAAATAATAAAAAAAAATTTTTCTTTTTAGTTCCTCCCCTTTTAAGTTTTTTAAATGGTAAAAACAATTTAAATTCGCCATTTTAACTTCCCCCACTTTTATAAAATGTACAAAAAAAAAGAGGAAAAAAAAAATGGGGACAACCTCTTTACCATTTACGATTATAAACGTGGGGGTACCAACAACACCAAAAAAAAAGAGAGAGAGGGGGGAGGAAGTTGGTAATAAGTGAAAAAAAAAAAAATAAAATGAATCGAATATTCGTTAAAATACGTCGTAATTATTTATCATCATTATCATTATTATTATTATTATTATTATTATTATTATTATTATTATTATTATTATTATTATTATTATTATTATTATTATGTAATTAATATTTTGTATATTTCGTCGACGACGACGCCTTTACACCTCCTTTATTTAACGTTTTTTTTTTTTTTTTTTTTTAAAACGCGCCATTTTATTAATTTTTTTCAAAAAAAAACTATTTAAAATTAAAATTAATAACGTACATATATTAACGTTTATGTATGTTTATTATGAGGGCCGTTATTATTATTATTATTATTATTATTAATGAAAATAAATCACGGACGTCGTCGTTTTTTTTTTTTTTTTTGATTTTCTATTTGAATTTCCCTGAAAAATTTTAAAAGGAAGGAGTTGCCATGGTTATGCTCAACTCAAGGCGACATAAAATCCATTTTCAATTGGTTGAAAATTTTCCAAATGGCTGACTTTTGCAACGAAAAAAATTATTCCTTTACTGCTCTTTTATTTTCCGTTCTTCTTATTCTAATGCCACGTTTTTTTTTTTTTTTTATTTATCGTTAAATAGATAGATTGTCAATAACAATTAATAATTATTTTTTAAAAAGAAAAATTTTTTGTTGTTAAAGGTTATTTGAAAAAAAAAAAAAAAAAAAAATGGTTGTTGTTGTTGCAGTCATAACAACGTAACATTTACAAAAACCAGTTTTTTCTTTTTTTTTTTTCTTTTAAAAACAAAGGTCGTGAAAAAAAAAAAAAATTGCGAATGAATGAAATCGAAAAAAATTTTCCAGAAAGAAAAAACAAACGGAGAGCTTTTAATAATAATAAATAAAAGAAAAAAGAAAAAGGGTATCGTAATATATATAGAAAGTCAGTCAATCAGTGATTGAAGAAAAGAAGGGAGGGAAGGGGGGGGAGAAAAAAAAGAAAGTTTGGATAAATGAGAAAAAAGAAGAAGGTCAAAGGGCGTATAAAAAAAAAAAAATTCCGATTTATTTTCTTTTTATTACTTTTTTTTTTTTTAAATGCTGAAATTAATACCGATGGAATAAAAATTTAAAAAAAAAAAAAAAAAACGGTTGTGATTTTTTTACTTACGTGGGATTTTTAAAATGGCGACGGCGGATTTTTTTTTTTTTAATCTTGTTTCCATCGTTTGAATCCAAAAACAAATTTTTAAATAAATATTTCGGGGGGTAGAGAGAGAGAGAGAGAAGGGTGGGAAGAAATGAAAGAAAAAGAAAAAAATTTTCTCCGTTTATTTCTTTTCGAAACGATATCATCATCATCATCATCATTCGTCAATTTTGTAAAAGAATAATAATAATAATAATAATAATAATAATAATAATAATAAGAGAGAGAGTTCATTTAAATCGACGTGTAAATAAATTTAAAGAGTCCTACAGTTTGAAGAAAGAAAAGTTAAAAAAAAAAATTTTCCGACACGTTTTACAAAAAATTGTAATTTTCCTTTTTTTTCCCCAATATTATCATCATCATCATCATTATTATTATTATTATTATTTCAACGTTTTTACGTATATTTGGTATGTAGTAGCATAATAAGGAGATTCTTATAAAAAAAAAAAATGAATTTGGAGAAGGAAGGGGAAAAATATGAGGGTGGGGAGGAGGAAAATGTCTCGTAGAACATTTGTTAAAGTCAATAAATTATTATTATTATTATTTATTAAAAAAATAAAGATGGAGAGATTAAAATCTTTTTTTTTTTTTTTTGAAAAATATTTAATGTGAAAAATACTCAAAGGTGATGGTTTCGAATGTTTTTTTTTTTGTAGCCCCGAGGTGGTCACGTCACGATCTAAAAATATCAAAAACGATTTGTCGGAAGTTTTTTCTTTTCTTTTTTTTTTTTTTGTCTTTTTTTGTTCCAAACGATATTTATTTAAATAAAATTTAAATAAATAAAGACGGGTGCGTGTGCGTGCGTATGCGTGCACGTAGCGAACGTATATCCTTAATTAACCGAATGGAACTCAATTTTTTCCGTTTGTTAAAACCGTCGTTTTTATGATTTTTCCAATAAGTAAGTCATAGAGTAAATAAACGTTGTGTGTGTGTGCGAGCGAGCAATTGAAAGAAGTAAAATAATAATAAAAAGTCATCATGTGTCAAAACATGTTTTTTTTTTAAATTTATTAATAATTTCTGTTTTTGTTTAAAAAAAAAAAAAAAATTGTTAACTCGATTAACGTGGAAGAAGAAAAATTAAAAATTGATATGATTTTGTTGCGAAGATGATGTTGTTGATGATGATGATGATTTATGTCTATGTATCAGAGAATTTTTTTTTTTTTATGAATTTGTTTATTTTACAAGTCAACAACCTTTGAATTCGAAAGGAAAAGTGTAAAAATATAAAAGAGAGAGAGAGAGAGAGAGAGAGAGACAATAAAATGATTGAAAGAAATGTGCGTAAGAGAGAGGAAATTACAAACGACGAGTGTGAGCGAATAGATAAAAAAAAAAATTAATTTTTTTTTTTCGTGTAATCAGACATTTTTCATATCGCGATCGAAAAAAAAAAAAAAAAACGATGTGATCCAACCCCGTTTTTGTTCAAAATTAAAAAATTTTTTTTCGCGGGTTTTTTTTTGTTCTTATCATTTCCTTTTCCTTTGCAAAAAAAATTTTTTTTTTTTTTTTGTTTAAAAAATAAAAATGACGTTTTTGAAAAATTTATTTTAATTGAAATGATCAGTTTAAAGAAAATTTTTTTTTTTTTTTGTATTCAAGGCTGTCGCAAATGGTAATAATAATAATAATAATAATAATGATAATGATAATAATAATAATAATAAAACAGAAAAAAAAACTGAGTAACGTCTAAAAATAGTCGGTTTGACACTTTCGACAATTTTTTAAAGCGTTTCGTCACGACGACGACAAAATAAAAAAAACTCGGATGAGTTTAGGGAATCCGGAAAAGCAGAAGACATTAATAAAAGTTCTTTTATCATCATCATCATCATCATTATCATCGTCAAATTTTTTTCTTTTATTTTGTCCGAAGGAATTTTTTTTGGGCGCACGTTAAATGTTAACAACCGAACGGGTAAAAAAAAAAAAAAATTCGTTTTTTTTCTTTTCGATTCTTTTGTTTCCTGTTGTTTGTTTGTTTGTTTGTTTGTTGCAAAGGATTATATATATAATATTAAAAAAATTTGGCGGACGTCGTTTTTTTAAACTTACTCAATTTTATTTTTGAACGCAAAAAAAAAAAAAAAATTAATAAAAAAAAATTTTTTATTTATTGCTAACTAACAGAGAAACGTTCTTTTCTCTCTCTCATTTGTCTCTCTCTCTCTCTCTCTCTTTTAACTAAAAATTTAAATTAAACGTTGGTTTATTGCTGACTGTTTTTTTAAAAAAAAAAAAATTTTTTTTTTTGAATTAACAATTAGTAATTTTAGCTGCGTTTTGACCCAAAAATACGAATGACTACATCTTTACTGCTGGCAATTTAACTCTCATTTCGGTTAATTTTATTTTATTATTATTATTATTATTATTATTATTATTCTCATCATCATCATCATCATCGTCATTTTTTTTCTTCTTTTTTTCAAGGATTTCAATTAGAAGACTCTAATAGTTCATAAAGTTAATTCTAGAAATAAAATGTCAGTCGCCTCTTTTTATTTTATTTTCATCGCCTTTTTCCTTCCTATATTTCTCTCTCTCTTTGTCTTTGTCTTTGTCTTTGTCTCTCTCTCTCTCTTTTCTTGTTCTTTAGTAAAAAAAAGAAACAAAAAATTAAATTTTTCTAGTTTGTAACACGTTCAATTTTTTTCTTTCTTATTTTCTTATTTTTTGTTATTTTTCTTCTTCTTCTTTTTCTTTTTCTTCTTCCACGTTTTTTTTTTTTTCGTTTCCTTTACTTAAAAAAATTCGCGTTGAATTTTTTTTTGTTGTTTTTATTGTTGTTTTATCTAAAGTTTTGTTTTTTTTTTTGTTTTCCTCGTGTTTCGTAATTTAATTTAACGACCCACGGTGATCGAATTTTAATCGTGTAAAATTAAAAACCTTGGCGGATAATTAAGTGGGAGGCAGTAAAAGTCAACAAAAATCGTAAATGTTTATTTGGCTAGACAAAACAAGAATTAGACATCCCTCCAAGGTAAAAAAAAAAATGGGGGGGAGGGAAAAAGCCACCGTTTATGTGATGAATTTGTACCGCCGGCCGGCCGGTATCTTTACCACCTTTTTTCTCTCTCTCTCTTCAAACCTTTTCGCATCATTTATTTCGTTTTAATTTTTTTTTTATTTCGTTATTATTATTATTATTATCATTACTACCATCACCACCATCACCTCCTCCTCCTCCTCCTCCTCCTAAAATCGAATAACGAACCGAAAGATGTTATTGAGTTGCCATTAATAAGTAAGAATATTGGCACGCGTTTTTTTTTTTATTTATTTATTTGAAAAATGTAAAACCATCTGGGATGAAGAAGTAGAAGAAGAAGAAGAAAAAGAAGAAGATGAAGATGAAGAAGAAGAACCCACGCCAATCTGACCTACTATTTTCGGTTGACATTGAAAAAAATTCACAAAAAAAAAAAAAAACCTTCAAAATTGTGGGATGATCGCGTCTGTCTAGTCTATTTACCTACGATTCCGATACGTCATTCATTCCCTTTTCCTCATGACAAACCTTTTATTATTATTATTATTATTATCATTTCTTATTTCACCGTTAAAAAATTATTATTATTATTTTTTTCCGTTAAACGATAATAAAAAAAAAAAGAAAAAAATTTCGATTTTGTTTCTTTTAACCCCATAGAACGTGATAAAATCCAGATTTTGGAGCCACTTTTTTTTGGGGGGGGGAGGGGAAGGGATCCCCTTTCTTTCCAGCTTGAAGTTGTTTTTTTATTTATTAACAGCCACCGTTTTTATTCAGATAATTTGTCAAGTCACACTCGTAATAAATTTTTATTATTTTATATGTGCGTGTGAGAGTGTGTGTGTGTGTGTGCGTGCGCGCGAGCGTGCATATTTATTATTATTATTATTATTATTTTCCGACTTAAATCTATACGGATATATTTATTTATTTATTTTTTTATATACTAAAATTTTCCCTTTTTTTTTCGAGAAGATGAAACTTAAAAGTCGAATTCTCTCTCTCTCTCTCTTTCTCAATGTCTCTCTCTCTCTCTCTTTTGAATTGCGTCAAAAAAAAAGGTTTCCCTGGAAACTATTTCTCGATTTTTTTTTCTCATTTAAAAAAAAAAACAAAACAAATTTTTATTTTGGAATCGATTAATAGAACTTTTTTATCTTTATTTTATCTTTAGGTTCGATTAATCCCGAAGAACTGAGCCTGGGACCTTCCGGCAGCGGGGGACACAGTCTGAGCCCTCAGGGCATCAATCCGCCCGAACCGTCTGCCACGCCCGTAGAAATAACTTCTTTGAAAGCGGAGCCAAGCCTTTGCAGCAGTCCGACGGGTGAAGATTCGTGCAGTAATAGCAGTACAATGTTTCCCGGGCACGAGTCGCAGAGTCAACAGGGAAAAATAAGCTACCGAGGAGTTTTCACGACGACCGGTGCCAGCCCGCTCAGCATTTCTTCGGGTCAGTTACCGGGATTGAGCCCTTCACCGACTCCCGGTGGAATAAACCACTGGTTGTTACCTAGTCCGGACAAAACACTTTTCCCTCCAATATTCGGGTTATTAGGTCAGCAACAACCGGGACAGAGTTCTCCGCAACAGTACCACGCGACCGGCTCACCGACGGGTCATTACGAAGACCGATCTCAACAGCAGCACGAACTTTTGGGTTTGGGTCTCGACAACCTGGCCCTCAAGCAACCTCCTTCGTATTCGTCATGCTCTGTGCCAACCTCATCCGGTTTACCCATGAACGAAGTCCAGCCGGATTTGTCTTACTCCACGAGGGTATCGCAATCTCTCGGATCCGGAGCAAAATATCACTGGCTGGATTCGCAAAACGTCGATTACGGTAGCCAACTACACGTACCTGGACCGTCTGGTGTCGTACCCAAAGAAGAACCGTACACGAGTACGAGTTCGAGTGAAGTAGTTCAGGGACAAAGTCAGTTTTCGGTTCAGCTCGCCGAGTATAACGTGTCCACGAGCAAAGGACACGAAATTCTCTCGCAAGTTTATCAGCAAACTCACATGCCGCTCAAACTAGTCCCCGTCAAACCTAGAAAATATCCAAATAGACCTAGCAAAACCCCCGTTCACGAACGACCCTACGCGTGTCCCGTCGAAAACTGTGATAGAAGATTTTCGAGATCGGATGAACTCACTCGACATATACGCATTCACACGGGTCAAAAACCGTTTCAGTGTCGAATATGCATGCGGTCGTTTTCGCGTTCGGATCATCTCACCACTCACATTCGGACTCACACGGGTGAAAAACCATTTTCATGCGACGTGTGCGGTAGAAAATTTGCGAGGAGTGACGAAAAAAAGCGACACGCGAAAGTACATTTAAAACAGCGGAAAAAAGAGAGTAAACTAGCGTCGCAAGCATCTCATGCCCAAACCCAGCAACAACAGCAGCAGCATCATCATCATCACCATCACCATCATCATCATCAAACGGTACATCACCAGCAGCAGCAACAACAGCAGCAACAACAACAACAACAACAACATCATCATCCTCATCACAGCCACGTTTCGGATGACAGTTTGTCAATGCCGGTTGTGACAACATCACTTTAAACTTCCCCCCCCACCCACCATCATTTTTTTTTCTAACTGGTTTGTTTGTAAATTATTTGTGTAAGCTATGCTGTGATCTCGCGGGTATTACAACCCCAAACGTCGCTATTTTATCCAGAGAACTCTTCTTCTCCTCTGTTTCTTTTTACCTGGAGAACGTTGTTTATTAAAGAGAGAACGTTAAAGCGTATTAACATTTTTTTTTTTTTTTCGTAAACTATGTAAAGAACAAGAAGAAGAAGATAAAGAAGAAGATGAAGAAGAAGAAGAAAAAAGTGTTCCAGGAAGGAAAGGCTCACAAAGTGGTGATAGAATTATTATTATTATTATTATTTTCTCAACAGCCATCATCGGCCATAATTTTTTATTATTTAAAGTGTAGTAGAAAATTTTTTTTTTTTTTTTTTAACAACATTTTTAAAAACAAAAAACTTTTTTCTTTCTTTTTTTTTGTACTAAAAAAAGGCTTTAATTAATTTCTTTTAATAATTTAAAAAAAAAAATTTGTAAACGCTAGTTTTATATACAACATACACGTGTATTTTATCATAGATAGTAAACTTTTTATTTATTTTTTTTATTATTTTATTTTCTGACATTGTTGCCAAATTAACAAATTTTAACTAAGGAAACGCAAAAACATTCCGATAGAAAACACAAAAGAAAATTTTCTTTTTTTAACGTATAGGAAAAACGTTGTTTCGGGGAGGTGGTAGTGGGGGTGGGGGTGGGAAAAGGAGGATTGGTAGGGAGAGGAAAAGTGGGGAGCGCTGTTGTTGTTTCTTTTTTTAAATTTAAATTCATAAACGGAATTATTGCTTTTAATATAAAATATTATTTTAAATTTGTTGTTGTTATTGTTTTATTATATCGAATTTTTTTTACAAACGGAAACGGAAATGGCGGATAAAATATTATTATTATTATTATTATTACGAACTTATCGGTATATCATTTTAACGTCAGTTATTAGATCTCAGTTATTTATTACAGAAAAAAAAAGATGGCCGAAAAGTTTTATTTATTTATTTTTATTTATATATCAAATATATACGCATACATATATATATATTTGAAAAGAGAGAGGAAGAGAGAGAGAGAAAGAGAGAGAGGGAGATAAAAGATATAATTACGACAACAACAAAAATATAAACGAATGGAAAAAAAAAAAATTCGTTAAAAAATTTAAAAGCGAAATTCTCGACTGGTAAAAATTATTTTTCATGTGTTTTTGTTTTGGAATTGAGGGAGGGGGGGCAAAGGGGAGGGAAGGGGATGAGAATAATTTTTTTTTTGTAAAGTTTAAAATGTAAAATTAATTAATTAATTTGTAAAAAAAAAAAAGAAAACAATTTTATTGTTATAAAAAATTATTATTGTTGTTCGATTGCTTAATTGATTGTTTTTTATTGTCTTTCATGTTTCCATCAAGTTGTTATTATTATTATTATTATATATGTTACCTTTGTAAAAAAAAAAAAAAAAAAAAAAAATTTAATATTTTTCAATAAAATAATTTTTATAATAATAATATTTAAATTGTAAAATTAAAATTAAAAAAAAAAAAAAAAAAACTAAAACGACTGTTTCTAATTTTTAAAACGGACTGTGGATAATATTTTATTGGTTGATTTAACCAGCCAGCCAGGTATTGGGCCTTTGAAAAATTTAAATAAATAGATAGATAGAGATAGATATATATATATAGGTACAGGTAGTACGAACTGGTTTTTCTATTATTATTATTATTATTATTATCATAAAAATGCTGACTGAAATGGTTAAAGATGTATTCTCACAAAATCGAAAAAAAATTTCTTATTTATTTTATCAAATACATATTCTTCTATCTGTTAACTTTATTATTATTATCATTATTATTATTATTATTATTATTATTTAGGTTTAAAAAAAAAGGTTTTGTATTTAAATCTACATAAAAATAATAAAATAATAAAAAGACTAATTGCACAAAAATAAAAAAAAATGAAATTGTTAAAGTTTTTAAAGAAAATTTATGATTATTTTTATCATTATTATTATTTCTCCATAATTCCAGGTTATCATTATTAAATCCGACTGGAGAACAAACAAAACAACGTAAATAAACATTGAGGAAAAAAAGAAAAAATAATAATAATAATTTATTGATGATAAATCAATTTCGATTCGAAATTTTTATTTTTTTTTAATAAATTCAAAAAAGGAAAAAAATTTTGTGCCATTAAAATAATAATAATAATAATAATAATAATAATAGGTTATTTAATTTTTTTTTGAAAAGCGTTTTTTTTTTTTTTTAATTTTAATTTTAAAATTTAAATTTTATTTATTGTTATTAATTAATTAATTAATTGATTAAATAGAAGAAGGGATAAAGAAAGAAGGGTTAAGGGCAAAAAAATAAATAAATAAATATTTTTAAAAAAATTATTAAAATAAAAATTGACTACTAACAAAAATAAAAATAAAATTAATAATAAAATAACAACATTAATAAATAACAATTTAAAATTAATAATTTTTAGAATTATCGAAAAATTAAATATTTATTTATTTATTTTTTTTTTTTTCTATGAGTTTATTTTAAAATTTATTTTTTAACGATAATAAGTGAGAAAGAAGAGTACGTTCAGGTATTATTATTAAAAAAAAAATTATTTGTTTTTAAGTTAGTTTCCGGAAACAGTTGAAATTTCGCGCCAATTTTTTTTTTTTAAATTTCGAAAGCAATTAAATACAAACGAGTCTGAAACAATTTTTTTTTTATTGCAAAAATTAAACGAGTTTTATTTTTTTTTTTAATTTGTTCTTAATTTTACTTTGTTGTGGGATGATAAATAATTTTTTTTTTTTGAATCATCAACAAAAATATTTTTATTTTTAAATACAAACAAACAAACAAACAAACAAACGCGAAAAAAACAAACGAAAACGAAATGAAAGAAAAAACGAACGGTTTGGTATGATTATAGAAGTAAGATATTTTCCTTCTTCCTCTCATTCATCCCTTTTACCCACTTTTTTCCCTTTTTCGCACGCCCCTTCCCCTTCTTTCCTCCTTCTCCTCCCCTTACATGTATCCTTCTCCTCCCTCCCCCTCTTTCCCCTCTTAAAAAAAAAATTATTTTCATACTTTTTTAAAAAATTTTCAAAACAAAAAATTAAATATTTTATATATATATATGTATTACATTTAAAAATAAAATCTATTTTTTTCCATTGTTGTTATTGTTATTATCATTATTATTATCATCATTATTAAACGATTGTAAATGATCAATAATAATAATAAATAATAATTTTTCACTCTTTATAAATTCTAAACTTTATTTTTTTATATAAAAAAATTAATTCGTTAAAAAAAAATTGTTTCCATCGTTTTTTGT